TAGATAGAGAGAGAGAGAGAGAGAGAGGAATTTGGAGGCTGCGTGTATAGTGAAACATACATTGTTGTTCTGAAGGACAGAACTTCCTGATGAAGTTCCACAATGACAACTGACAATCATCAAGGGAAGAAAGCATGACCTCAAAACAACAAACAAGATGCTTAAGTCACAGACGTGGTTCACCAAAGCCTAAAATCATCTGTTCCAATTATCCAAACTAATTAATAAGTTGATGTGTTTAAGTGTATAAGAGTACCTAAAAATTAATACTTACGAACTAAGTGGTTATATACGTGGACACAACCATCCCACTCTTCTCCGGCTTTTGGGGCTGCTGATAATATACTGGAGATGAGAGAGAGGGAGAGATCCAAATGGTGCCAGCTTGTCTAGCAATATGAGACCAAATGTAAAAATCGGAAGAGCTGCACAAATAGTAAGCAGAATATGATGATGAGAGAGACCCAAATGGTGTTAGCTGTAAAACCATTTGCGTATGTCAAACACGGACTCACTCTTAGAGAGAGAATGGGGAGAGAGGCAGCAGATAGAGAGGGGGGCAGCAGCTAGAGAGAGAGGCTCCCTATATTTGACCAGCAAACTTACGAAAACCAAGTACCTACGATGATCATATAGACCATCTCAGCCCCCAAATTATTGATTATCAGACAATTTTGTAAAAGAACTGACCCAATCTTTTCAAATGACTCCCCATTAATCCATCACAAGTCGTAGAAATACCGCACTCATAAATTTCAGCATAAATTGCTCTGAAAAATTCGTCAAAATCGCAACTAAAATCGCTAAGAAAATTGCAGGACTCACACCTAGACCTTCAAAATTGCAGGAATGAAAATGATTCCAAGACAGATTGCACTTGTTGAGAGATTGAAAATGGCGCCTGAAAATGAAGCTCCATTGAAGTTTTGGGAAATTTCTGTTGATTTTAGAAGGGGTGCCTCATTTTCTTGCTCCTTGTCTGGACCATGGAACACCGTCGGTGTTGTCTTTGTCAGAGTTTCTTTCTCTAAAAGTGATAGGTCATTGTTTTGGAGGGTTTTTTCAGAAAACCAAATCTCCGTCGATAAATAGGGAGAGCGAGAGATTCGAGGGGATTTAGACAGAAAACCAAAGACAGGGATGGAAAGTAGAGGAGGTTTAGAAGGAGGGGAAAGGGTTTAGCAAGAGAGAAGAAGGGAGAGAGATGGATTCAAGCTCGTTTCCCTCTCTATTTGCATTCTCGTTTTCTCTTCATATACTTATTGTGTATTTGGGAGGAGAGAGAGTGTGAGAGAGAGATGGGAAACGTGAAGAGAGAGAGAGGGAGAAGAGAGAGTGAGGGGTTAGAGATGGGAAAGACGAAGAGAGAGAGAAAGAGAGAGGGTGCGGGGAGAGAAAAAGAGAGAAGTTTGGGAGGATGGCTTTTAGAAAAAGCATGTATTTTTAGATTTGTTTGGCCTAATAAAAACAGGCTTAAAGTAGTTTGAGGGTTAGAAGAAATAAAATCTACAATTTTTATGCCCCAAGATATCGTTTAAAACATTGGGTCTGTTGTGAAATGAAACCAAAAAATAAGGGGTATAGAGATATTTTCCCAAAATAAAACCCTAAAGAAGGAAAAAATACTAAACATAATTTTCTTTCTCCCCCTCACATATCTCTCTCTCCCCCATGTCTCTCTCTCTCCCCAAGTTAATCTCTCTATAGATCATGCAAACCTAATAACTTCCATCCCATGAATGTAGGAGTCCCTATCCCTCATGTTATCTACTTTCATCCCATGGACCCTTATCATATCTATTATCCCATGGACCCTTATCATATCCATGATCCCATAAAATATTTCTTTAAATCTTTAACTCCCCTAGATCCTCTTTTCTAAGAAAAATCTCTAACTTCCCTAGTTGGTTGGGCCTGATTTCTCATCGTCCCAGGTCGGCCCGGATATGGATGACCTGGTCAGAGGAATCCTCTCTCAAACAACAGTGAGGCCCAAACGCGTGTGCGGGTGTGCTTGTAGTGCAGATAGGAACCAACAAAGAGAGAGATTTTAATCGACAAAGAAGGGCTCGAGCACTTACCTTGCCGTTTTGGGTTCGAGGGACGCGTCTGGGCGATTCGCCCTCTTATATCATTTCGAAAGCCCTCCGGCTGTCCATGCAGCGCAGTTTGAATTCGGTTCCTACGCTTCGTTGCGCAGCACTTGGACCCACACACTAAAAAATGGCCTTCATGGTATACTTTTTGGGGTCTCCTCCTATTTGGTAATATGGTCAATTTGGGGTTTAAACTAAGGGTTAGAGGGGTGATGGAAGTTATTTACCACTCGAGTGTTACGAGACACGGCTATTAGAGCAGTCAAAGGGTCATAACTCTATGGAATGCTAACCCAGAATGACCCCATCCGAGTGAGCGAGGGCAAGAGCATCAATATCTCTCGCAACTCAACTCGACTGTACGAAATGGAGGTTAGAGCAGCGGTCCGAAAGTTAAAACCCTTAAAATAGCTCTAAGTGTGGCACCAAGTCGAAGATACAAAGGATGGAAGAAGCTACCAACACAAAAGAATAGAGGGGTTGGGAAGATTAGGGTGTGTTCAAAACAGTGTACGTTCGGATGGGTGAAGTGTGGGTGGAACTATGTGAAAAGTAGGAGAGTGGAGATAGAAGTGTGGTAGAGAAAAAGAGTGTGTAACACGAGTGTGAGTGGAGCGTGTAAGAGAGAGAGTGTGTGATGTGAATGTGTGAGTGAGAGTGTGAGTGTCAGTGTGTGAGTGAGACTGTGATAGTAATAGTGTGTGTGATTGTGAGAGTGTGTGATACAAGTGTGTTAATGAGAGTGTAAGTGTAAGTGTGTGAGTGAGAGTGTGATTATAAGAGTGAGTGGGAGTGTAAGTGTGGGTACGTGAGGGAGTGTGTGATTTTGAGGGTGTGTGAGTGTGAGTGGGAGTGTGAGTGTAAGTGCGAGATGTGAGTGTGTGCAATTGTAAGAGTGTGTGAGAGGTTTACATGAGGGAGAGGCGAGAGAAATAAGTGAGAGGAGAGAGAAGTACATGAGGGGGAGGAGTGAAGTACGTGAGGGAGAGGAGAAGGAAGAGAGATAGGGATGATTTGTTAGGAGAGCTGGGAGAGTTGGGAGAAAGAGGGATATGTGGAATAATGAGGGGGAGGATTGAACAGGATAGGAAAGAGAGAAAATAATAGCGTGGGAGAGAGGGGGATAAAGATTGAACAAAATAGAGGGGCGAGAGATATATGTGTAAGAGAGAGAGGTTTGATTTGAAACTTGAGAGAGAGATGGAGAGAAAGGTAGCGTGCATGAGAGTAGGGATAGAGAGAGTCGGGGAGCGTGTACGGTGGTGACAGATGGGGGCGTGCACGAAAGCAGGGATAGAGAGAGCCGGGCATGTGCACGGTGGTGATAGATTGGGGCGTGCACGAGAGTAGGGATATAGAGAGCCCTTGGCTCTGAGCGAGTGGAGCCATCAAGAACTCCTGGTACACATGCTAGGTGTGATGTTCATAGTCCAAAAAAAAAAGGGGTCCATAAGAAGGATGGAATGCATATGTTGTACAAGTGTATATGATGCTACACGAGCAATGCCTCGCCTAAATGCATGTGGCGCATAAGCATACACAAATTCAGTCGAACATGTATGAGAACGTGTAATATGACCAAAATGTACGTGAAGTTGGGTTTGATCCACTAAATCATGCACGTTAATTCGGTTGATCAGAAGAGGGATGATTCCGTTACCCATGGTGGATAAAATCAGTAATTTGGGTTTGAGTGTCCATCACATGATGCAATTAATTCAAAACATTAGAGCCTCGGATATGAATTATATATTATACTCATACGTGTTTATTAAATCAGTGATAGTAGTTGATTTTGTAATAACGAAATAACGAATTATAGTTTAGTTGGTGTTCAGTGAATATACTCCCCTGCACCACAATCAATAACCCTTGAGAAACTTCAATAGGCCTTCCTATGGGGGTAACCAACTTAACCAAAAACACCTAAGTCTTGACAATTGGAACTAGGATTGTAAACCCAACAGTGAAGGTAGGATGGGAGTCAGCAAGTGGAGAAGAGTTACTGTTGTCAACATTAATTACGAAGAACTGCCTTTGGAGACACAACTTATGGCATTCCAAGACCATAAGGAGAGATTCATGTGCTAGGAAAAACATACATGACACACTCTCAATCACCAAAGAGCACTCCCATGGAGTTGCACACAATGATGGGCACTAGAACTCAACTAGGGTCCCTCTCAAGATGGATACTTCTCTCTCAAGAGTGTCCATGAGGTGATCAGAAATTATGAGAACATAAATGAGGTCCTAAAAGCTACATTCAAAAGTCTAATCCATACTAGGGCCTCTTGGTTTACTTGGCATCAAAAGAGGCTATTCACAAATGATAGAATCCATAGATGGGGACTCCAAGTGGAAAACATATGCTACTGGTACAAAACCATTTGTGAACCATGACCACTTGTTCACCTCTAGCACCTCTAGTTATCTCCTTGTGCAAAACAAGGATTCTTGTTTTAAGATTAGACACACGCACGCGCGCACACAGACTTCATTCAACTTTTGAATGACTAGTACCATTTGGGATGTTTGAGACATGGGTTACATAAGTAATTGGTATAATTTAGTAGATCAACAGCCCAAATCTAGGCGTAATTAGATGTATAGTACCACATATAGTACCCTAGACGTCTACATGTGATACCAAGTTGGAGTTAAGAAAATATAGCAAATTATATTACCAAGGGCAAGTACACTATCCCTCTTGTTAAACGAATCTAAATCCCGGGCAGGCCGTTTAATTCTAAATAGTTGTAAGTTAACTTCATAAGGGATGAAATTATACAATCATGCTTTACATGTGATTATATAATTGGATAAGAGGGTATCTGATTAATTTATATTTTCTGTTTTATTAGTAAACACGTACGGTATCCATTATTCATGTACTCATTGTACTAAAATTAACATCCCAAGTAATCATATGTAATGATTGTATAATTGGAATGAGCTGTAGGTATCAGCAGCCCCTTCTTTTGCATGAAATATAATGTTTGTCTAAAGGCTCAAGATACCACACTTGGTCATTACAAGCCCATTATAAGTTACATACCTTCTGAAATGGGGAGAGGAGACCAAATCTCATGTCCACTATTGCATGCACTATCAATCACCGGATAGAGATTTCAGAAGCGAGATAATACCCCTTTGGAACTGCATTTATAAGAGAAAAGAAGATGTGCTTCAATCAAAATAAAGAAAAAACAAAAAAAACAAAAGCATGTGTACTAGTTCACAGGATCATGATTAACTCTATAATTTCAAACAATCAAGGAAAAGAACTAGAGAGAAAAGACAAAGTAGACATCAGATTAAAATTAGGAGGATATTGAGGTAAACTTACCTAGGAATGCTTCCTTTCCGACGAACATCATACTCTGTGGCCTGCCAGAGGGCTCGTGCAAAGGCCTTAAAAGTTGCCTCAATTATATGGTGTGAGTTTTTCCCAGAGAGCTGTTTAAATCATGAAGAAGAAATAAAATACTGCACTCCCTACATAAATACAGAAAGACGTAGATATACACCTCTTCTTATACTTCCACTTTCATTTGTTATGTGTCTTAAATAAAAAGGAACAAAACTAGGGCACACAGTTACTGAAACTTAGCTTTAAACCAATGAAGTGGAATGGCACTAAGTGGTATCTTAAGCATCACTCATTTTGTAGATATTCCACAAAAGTTTCTTACCCAATGCAATGAATTTGAAAAATTGTAGAGGAAACGAAGATGTAACTTAACTTTAAACCAATGACGCAATTGAATGATATTGGCTTAGTGGTACCTTGAGCATAACTTATTTTGTTAATAGTCTACAATCCCTTCTTGTTTGATGCAATGACTTCGAAAAATTGTAGAAGAATTGAAGGCAAACACTTGACCTGCCGTATGTGAAGCGTCATCCCTGATGTATTGGCCATCAACTGAAAGAAGTGCTCCACCAGCTATACCCAAAATATGTCAAGAAGTTAAACATGATACTTAAAAACCTTGACCCGATTATCTGATTAAGATTTTTATCTCTTGTAAGTGATTTTCAGGTATTTAACAATTAAAATCTCGTGTTTAGTCAAGTTTGACAACTACTTAAAAATGGCACCACGTAGGCACACATAAACACATTCGTAGTGGAAAAACCCCTGAAAGTCTCTGACTTTCTGCATGTAGCTTTAACCATAATCCGTCAAAGACATGAATGTAATGCTGCTCAATCATAAGTTGCATTACACAGTAACAGCGAGAGAAATTGTGTGGAACTTCAAAATCTACTGTTACAACATGTTGGCATTCATTCATCATTTGGATTTTTGGAGTTTAATGTTACAACTTGTTGCCATTAGTTGCAAGGTCTACAATTAAAGAGCAGAATGCCAATACATAAGATTGGAACCTCCTAAAGCAATCCTATTTGCCACAGACAAATATGAACCAATAGAGAACTTGATTTCTTCTTACCAGAGAATTAACACAACGGCATCAACTTACATCCACTAAATCATGCCAATTTTTGAAGCCCCATTGACTTTACCTAGCAAGGACAAAGATTGGAAGTTTGTTTCTTCCAGAAATGATTTGTTGCAATACACAGAACTTTTTTGAATGGCGACTGATTTTCAAACTAACCAGCTAGAGAAATCCATCACTTTCTCTTTCTATTTTATTGATAAAAATCCATGTTCAATTTCTAAGAATATTTTTATCCATGAACACACTGATGCTCCAACATATGATATAGAAACACTGCAACTCCACTAACCAGCATTTCAAAAAAATATCTCTAATTACAAGCTCCCATGTTAACAAATCAGGGCTGTCCAAAACTTGAATTAAGACTACTGATATTCACAAGAAATGAAAGGTCACCATAGGTAGTTGAATTACTTCTTAGAATGATTCTCTGTTCAATAAATTCAAAAGGCAAACAAAGAATAGAAAGCCATGTTTGATAGCTACAAATTGAGATGCTTCCACATAGCAGCCCTCAATTCAAATGAAAATTAGAACTTGTATATACAGAACACAAAACAATGCAAATGCAATACCTGAGTGTCATATGTCCCAACTCTTTCTGTAGGGATGGATAAATCATAACTCAAGTGAGGTCTCCCTGACAAATCCTATTTCATGAAAAGAAAACTAATGAGAACAGAAAGGAACAAAATCATGAAAAAGAAAGGAACAAAATCATGAAAAGAAGTGACAAACATGGTAAACTAAAAACACTCATAACTTTTTCATCATAGAAGCTCATTACTCCGAAGCAAAATACTAGAGTGTGAGCATAGGAATAAGCTGCTTAACAAGAACATGAAGTGATGCCACTGAATGGTAACGATAACATGGCCCAAAAAGATAGTGGAAGAAATATTAATAAATAAATATATTCAATGAAAGACACCATCGGTATGTCCAGTTATTTTAAGCAAAAGAAGGTTCTTGTGGATCTCACTATACTTAGTGTTTATTGTTCGAGATGTTGATGTCAAGCCAAGCCTATGGTACTATAGCAAAACAATGCTTTGTGTTCCTCATCAGGTCTGCAATCTCACAATGACGTATCAAGGTCATCATGCCACTTATATATGATGTGCCATATAATATACTTCGTACTTTTTATTTAGCCATTCATATAAGTTGACATAGAAGTCAAGGACTCTGAAAGCCCTCTATTACTAAACAGATTGCAAAACAAGAGTGGATTAACGTATTTGGTTTTTTAGGATAAACCTCAAGGATTCAAACCTTCGTCGCTCACCGAAACTGGGATGCCTACCACTAAAAGCTCAAGCCTAAGGGACAAAAAATCCACAGAGAACAAATTAACAGTTTTCACGCGACTTGATTTGCTTCCCTTTCTCTATGGAATATTATTATATGCATTGTATAAATAGAAAATGTGCTGGCTAAAGATAAGGGGCAATGTGGCATCCTATAGAGATTGGAATAGTTCAAATTATAGTAGACTAATATCACTTTTGGATGACACCTGAGGAAAAGAAAACATAAAAAAAAGCATGTAGCCGACAAGGCATAAAAGTTGAAGGCGAGCCCAAATTTAAATTGTAATCCATATTTCACATCTCATCAATGCTACATGAACAAGAGCTTCATCAAGGGGAGCTGAGAAGTCTCCAAAACGATTTACTCCTTTTCGGTCTCCAAGGGCTTGAAGCAATGTCTGCATGACTCATATAAATAAAATATTAACCCTTTCTGACACCTCTATGTTCTCGCTAAACAAACACTACATGGTGGCATAAAATACTGGCATAAAGGAACAATAGAAAATATAAATAAATTAATGGGTATACAGATAAAGATGTACTGTTCCAATGGCAAGAGCCACATCTTCATTTGTATGATGATCATCAATATGGATGTCCCCTTGAGCCTTGACGCACACATCGAATGGTCCATGTGATGCTAGTTGCTGCACATGCAATGTGGCCAATAGCCATTACTGAAGTGAATAAGAAGTACGATAATTTGTGCTATATAATAATCCAATGGACTGTTGAGAAACCGTAATTCACTGGGACACCACTGGCCATTGATATGATGAATGGTGATGGGGAGAGAGTAAATGAAGCCATATTCGAAGGGCTAAACTAAAATTTTGAATTAGAATGAGTAGCAAAATACTTACATCCAGCATATGATCTAGGAATGGGATACCAGTATTGTTATCTGCAAACCCTGATCCATCCAAATTTATTTTCACATGCACATTTGTTTCCTTTGTCACCCTTCTAACCTCTCCAATTCGACCTGCATCATTTCAAATTTAATAGTGCTGAAAATACTCCATATAGAATTAGCAGTAAGACTAGTAGCAGTGGACCAGCGGCGATGTTTCATACAAATGTATCCCATGAACTGTAAAAACTTCAAAAAATTCACACTCTAAAACTAGTATGTCTACTGAGACCTGAATTTATGGCCAAACTAATTGAGAACCAGTATGTTGGATCCCTGATATGGCCATAAAAGTTATTAAAGAAATAAATGCAGTGATATGTAACAATGACATTAAAAAAAACATAATACCAATTTCCACAACTTCAACAGAGCCATTGAAAAGTGAAAATAAAACAGAGAAATAGGCCACAAATCCAACTAAAAATCAATTGGAATCCCACAACCACATATGCACTTACGACCATCTAAAACTGCTAAGCCATCCGGAGCTAGTCTTGTGAAATTTCAAACCAAAATTAAGAGGAAACATTGCAATATGGAAAATAATTTTTAGTACAACCCAAATGGCAACTTCCATAAAAATGAGCACTTAGTACAAGAAGACTCATTTTTTTTCACAGACACTCATAAAACATCAATAATATGAAAACCCAAAAAAATAAAACATAAATAAAAGCTTACAGGCTTTGGGGGTCATGATAGGAGAGCCATTGTCCCTAGCTTTAGTAGCAGCACAACAAATGAATCTGAACGCCTGCTTCTGCATGGACTTACCAGAATGAAAAATGAAAACTACATAGAGAGAAGCAAACCACAGAGAGACAGAGAGAGAGAGAGAGGAACCAGGAACCAGCAACCAGAAACAAGCGCAAAGCAAGAGAAAGAAATGAAAATTCACTAAATAAGAAGCAACAACAATCAAAAACAAGAAAAAATCAACAGTCAGAGAAGTAAATAAAAAAAAAATGAAACCTCACCTGAGCAGAGGCCTCCTGATCATCTTTGCAAGCAGCCAATATCGAAGTATTCGCCCTAAGGATCTCATCGCCCTCCGAAACTCCGAGCAATTTCAAAGCGCTCACCACCCTCATCTCATAGGGCAGAGAATCGTCCGCCCCAGATGCCTACAGTCTCCTCCTCCTCCGACTACTTCGGCCGCCATCCTTGGCGGCGCCCCTAATATTGGCGGAGGCCTTCGCTCTCTTAAGGGTGGCATCGCTTAAACTGGAGGAGATTCTAAATCTGATGGTTGGGATTTGGGGGCATCTAATGAAGAGAGCAGCCATGGCCCCTCTCCTCCTCTTCTCAGTTAAGCAGAGGAAGCCGTTGTGTGTTTGCTTACTTATACGAAAAAGAAAATCGTTCGACATTCCCCTTATTAACAAAAGGTGGTTCTTTTATTTGAAAATGTAAATATTTGAATTTTGATCATAAAAAATAAAAATGAACCTTGTTTTTATCTTTTGGATTTGTAATGAACTACAATTCCAACTCCCCTATTTGATATGGAATAAGACTTCGAGAAAAACCAAAATATGATGAAACTCTGATAAGAAAACCAGTTGCTTTAAATTTTAGTTCCTGAAAATTGTGCTGAACTGTTGTATCACTGCAGTTGAAACAATAGCAGTTCTAATCAAATTCGTTACTTCAAAAATATTCTTTTTTGACTTAAAAGAATATTTAAATCTTTATCAGAAATTTTTAAATCTTTATTTTCAGTAGGTTTTCTGGGAGAGACTAGGGTTAGGAAATGGAGAAAGGCCAATAAACAAGCCTCAATGGGTCAGGATTAGGCCGAGTACTCCCGAGTTGTGTGTAAAAATCAGGGCATTTAATTTTTTTCTAAAAGTAAACTGTACAAAATTTAGATATATAATATAAAATTTCTTTTACATGATTTACATGTACTTGACAAAGATTAGTGAGTGTTTTTTCCCACAGTGTATTGTCCTCTTTTTAGGATTATTTAAAATATCCCAAATTATAAATCAGTTATTCTTAAATCCATTTTTTCTCTACTTCTTTTAAGGTTTTTTTTATACTTTATAATGCTATTTTAGGTTTCAATCGAAATTTTTACTTTTTCAATTTATCTATTTCTTTTAAAGTTTTTTAGGGCCAAAATGCAATGTGCGGGACTCAACAAGTCCTGAGGACTCGGCGAGTGACTCACCTCAACCAAGGCAAGTCAGGTACATTGGTTAGCTTAAATGTTGAATATGGGGTAGGCGCCTTCTCCCCCATTGCCTTACCCAAAAAAAAAAAGTTGGATATAAATGAAAATTATACATAAAAACCTTAAAATATCCTTAAAAATCTCGTACTGCTAAAGTTTCAAAATATTATTTACCATACAACAAAATAAAGATTAGTATAGATATCATTCATGTTCAAATTACTACCTAACATAATAACTCTTACCTACATATCTATTCCTCGTAAATTGCTTTCCATTTACCTTGTTTAGATTTTAGATCTACTTGTAGCTAGGTCACATATTTATTTTCAAAATCAGATTGCCACTCTAGCTTTAACATTGTATTGCTTTTATTTCTGGAAAATTAGTTTACCGTTAAGTCAACAAAAATCTTAATATATGGCCCACAAATTGATTTTTTCAGGATGTCACCAAAATTTGTATGGGAAAAAACAAATTATGATAGTAAACTAAAGATATAGTCAATTTGTTAAGATTAATTAATGGGTTGATGGGTGTTGATATATATTTGTTTATCATGCAGTCAAGGAAGAAGTGCGGTGTGTGTGTCAAATCATGGAGAAAGATATAGTCAATTTGTTAAGATTAATTAATGGGTTGATGGGTGTTGATATATATTTGTTTATCATGCAGTCAAGGAAGAAGTGCGTTGTGTGTGTCAAGGAAGAAGTGCGTTGTGTGTGTCAAACATGAATTCTTCATGATTTGCCTCACCACAGGCTTCTGCCGACTGTCTCTCACTTAAGAAGTGTTTCTTTTTCTACTGGACTATATATAGGGAAAAGTTTACACAGAGCCGAGGCTTTAAACAATCAAATTTGAGCCTACCTCATAAATTTCACTAGAAGAGTTGGTTTTGATGCCAAATATGTTCAAATTGACTATCTCGACATCAATATGCATGAACATGATAAAAAAAATGGATTTCAAGTTTTAAAAATAGTGTATTTTGTAACACAATTTTGGACTGTCAATTTTTAAGATTTTCACGTATTCATAGATCGGTCAATCTACAATATTTTTTAAGCTTTAACCTTTATAAATAAATATAAAAAAATATCTTAAGGCTATCACAAAGATTTCCAATATTAAAACCACATTTCTTGATACTATTTGAAGGTAGGTCCTAATTTGATTGTTTAGAGCATAGGCTCTATACAAACCGCACACATGTATATATATGATGAGGCTATTTATTTTTTATATAAATAAGTCATGGTTATTATTGATCACTAGATGTGAAATCATATGGTTGGGAATGTATCATTGATTGGGCACAAAGTCCAACATAAAAGTTTTGAAATGTTGTGACACACTACAATCTATTAGATTTCTCATTCAATGACTAAAAGTATTTGTAACCTCACTGTTCTAAAAGTAAATGGTCTCATACTATACAACATCGTTTTTTAATGTACTTCTCTCATTTACCGAGCATTATCTACTACTTAAATAATTAACTCATCACTAACGATTTAATTATTTAATTAATAAATGGACACAATTTCCATGAGTCCATATAGAAATGAGTCACCTCTTAAAAATTAATTTTTGAGATGAATTTTTTGACCTAATTTTTAAGGGCGTGGAATCTCTAACATGGAGATCATGAATATGAAAAAAATTCTACTATGAAAAGATTCGGACTGAATCCGAAAATTATGTTGAAGGTCCAATTTTTTCATTTTTTAATTTCGGATCTTAAATACCCAAAATAAGGCAAATTTTGGAATAGTTTTGGCGCTCCTAAGAACGAGTATACAAGTAATATATGGAAAAGGGTGTTGTTTCTATAAGGTTGCAACCCTAAACAATCTAATTAAGGGGCACCTCCTAATTTTATCATAACATGTAATTTTGTTGTAAAAATTACTAGGATTATCCGAATATCTATTTTCATATATAATTAGTAAATTTGAACGAGAAAATATCTTTGTACCACCTATTTTCAAGTTCCATTATAGATCAAAGGTTTTAAAAGATATATTGAGGCATAAAAATTGTAGATTTTATTTATTCTAACCCCTGAGTTATTTTAAACCTGTTTTTTTAGGACAAACAAAGCTAAAAAGACATACATATTCTAAAAGCCGTCATCCCAAACTTTTAGAGAGAGAAAAAAACTTCATGGAGGTGAGAGGTTATTGGAAGGAGAGAGAGATATAGGTGTTAGGAGAAACACGAGAGGAGAGAGAGTGAGATAAAAGATTGAGTATAGAAAGAGCATCTATTTTCCACAATTGTTTAGGTTAAAAAATAAGTTTAAAGTGGTCAGGGGGTTAGAAGATATATTTTGAAACCTTGGGTTTACCAATATATGAAACCTAAAAATAAGAGATATGAAAATATTTTCTCAATTTTAAATCTCCAAAAATGGTTAAAATCAAGTAGATCTATAAATATATGAAAATCTTGAAAATTGATGGTTTGAACAATGTTTTGCATGGGACTCAAAAAATTTCATATTCATACATCTCGATGTCAAGATGATCAACATTAAAACAACATTTTCAATATATTTTTGAGGTGCATATGTGATTCTACATTTTAATATTGAAATCTTATATAAACTTTTCCTGTGAAAAATCAATAAAATAAGTGAAGATATAGGTGATATTGTAAAAATAACGGATATATGCTAAATTTTCTAAAAAAAAAAACTTATTTTTTGTGTTATTCGGTATTTTTGGCTAATTTCTCTCTTTTTCCTCTTGTCTTTGTTTTTTTTTAAATATTAGACAAGTTGGCTGAAACGACTTGGGTACTCAATGTTTTGATTCGTGCTTGGACCAATTAGAACATTTTAAAAATATATGTACAAAACTACACTAAAGAACGTTAAAAATTAGATCATTTTCAACAGTAATATAAAAGTAAACAAGTATTGGCAAATATAAAAAAATAAAATGAGTTACAGATCCTAAACTTGAATTTGGATTTCACAACGTTGATGATTTCTGTGCATCGAGCTCACTACCTTTACGTGGAGAAAATATTATTTGAACTACTTCATCTTGAAGTTGTTCCATGTTAAAAATGCCCATGATATAAGTGTGGCGATGGGACAGGTATGGGTCGGGTCAGGCTAGACCAGGACCCGAATAATATTCAGGTCCAAATTTTGGATTCATACCCGAACCTGTCGGGTTTCGGGTCTGGTCGGATCCATTGCCACCCTATGATTATGAGCTTATTTTTTATTACCATCATAAACATTATGACTATGAACTTTTTTTTCTTTTTCCCAAACTACTGTAAATGTTGCCAATATTGTAATAATATGAATATCTAATGAACGCCTAAAGACACATGATTGCTATCATATACCCTATGACTACAGGTACAAGTAGGGTACGGGTCTGGTCCTGTTGGACCCAGACATCGACCCAGACCCATACCCAATGTTGGGTCTACCCATCGGGTCCCGGGTATAATCGGGTCCATTGCCACACCTACCATTATAGTACATTGTGTATAGAAAATCTAACTTGAACTTCATATAGAATAATTTTTTTTTTAAAATGGCTATGCATTAGTTTGTGTAATAAATATTTATTGAACTTCGTGTGCATATCTAATTCACTTGCGTATGGACAATGGTTATTGTCATAACATTTATTGCATTGGTAATGGTTAACAATATAGCAATATTTGATGGTTACATGCTAACGTTAAAGATGTGCCGTTTTGTCAAACAAATTTCTTGATTCAGGTTTGAAACCCAGAACAAATAAGGATTATTTGGATGGTTTGAAACCTATAACAAGTAAGGATTATTTTGATTACTATCCTATGGCCCCTGAGTGTGCAGGATTTTTAAACCTAGAACGCAAGCATTCTTATGGGGCCAAATTATTGAAATGGTCTTTGGTCAAGATTTTAAACTTATAACAAGGCCATTTTTTGTATGTTATGACAAAATAGTTGATGATTGACCATCTTATGTTGATATGTATGGTTATGAGGTCTGGCGTGATTTAACCTACAATTGTAGGTTAGGAGGAATCCCATGTTTATTATAAATTATCTATAATTATATCTAACATTCATATGGTTAAACGTTCATATGCCTGCGTTGAATAAATATCCTTGAGATCAGGGAAGACTTTTTATCGGAAACCCGTTGGATAAAGGTAACCATTAACCCTTATTCTCCTAATAAAAATGAGAAGCTAGAGGAAAGAAGATAACAAAAAAAAAAATTGTATAGATAGCGATAACTTTTATTCTCTCTAAAAAATGAATTTCAATCTAAAATCCGGGCTCTACGATCACCAGCCTCACGACAAGCTTCCCCTCTGATATTGAGTTTGGTTTCATTTGCATCATCAATTTTCACTAACATTTTAATGAATGATTTTTTTAAAGTAATGACTTGGGTTGCTAATTTGTTGATTTTACTGCAAATTACTTCTTTATGAGGTGGTTTGACCATTTGAATGATCGCGCTGAGCGCAAAGTTGTGTCTCATTGAAATCGACTACCATTCTTATGGTTTGGAAATTTTTATTGCCTTTTTAGTAGTGAAATTAGTAAAAACCGATGGACACAGAATAAGTAAATGTTGCTTCTTGCTTGGTTCGAATCCTAGGAAGGAGAAAGTGATGAATTCTAAAGGCTTGTTAGAATTGGACGCGGCCTACAAATAAATCTCTCTATGTTGCGCCCATGTTGGTAGTGCGTGCCATTATTTATAGGAAAAAGTTTATATAAGGATGCAACTTTATAATGTAAACCTATAGATGCACATCAAAAATCCAAAAAATGAAGTTTTAATGTTAAACCTTTTGATTGATCATCTCGACATTGAGATGTATGACCATGAAAAAAAAAAGGATTTTAAGTCTCAGAAATAGTGCATTTTACAAAATTTTCATATGTTTATAGATCTATTTGATTTTAACCATTTTTAAAATTTAAAATTATATACCTTCAAATTTTATCATAACATGTAATTTTAGCGAAAATTATTATTAGGATTATCTCAAAATCTATTTTCATATCTAATTATAAAATTTTAAACTCCAAAAAGAGTTAAAATCAAGTAGATCTATAAATATATGAAAATATTGAAATGGACGGTCACTATTTATGGGACTCAAATTTTTTTATTTTCTTTTCATATTCATGCATCTCGATGTCGAGATTATCAATTAAAGGTTTTTTCAACATTAAAACAACATTTTCCAATAGAGTTTTGAGGTGCATCTGTAATCCTACATTTAAGGTTGCAACCTTATATAAACTTTTTCCTTTGTATAAAGCATCAACCTTATAACATAGAAATACGGTAGAACTTAAAAATCATTTCAAAACATTATTTCGTCATTGGAAACCTGCCATCGACCATCTAGACCTTGAGAAGAGTGTATATAGAAATAACAATGTCCTAAAAACAATGTATCTCAGAAAAAAACAATATATTTTATAGCATATTATCTAGACGTCTATTATAATAAAATACTTTCTTACATCAAAGTGTTTCTAACACACAAACTATATCGTTTAGCAAGATTTAGATGTGTGCTTTATTTAATATGGCCTATACAAACCACACCCATTAAAACAAAAGGGAACCTGTGTTGCTAAATAGAGTTATCATCAATTTCGTGTTGTAAACTTTGAGCATCCACAATATCAATCCTAGTATAAGGGGCCACAACGAATTTAAAAAATTACAAGTTGTACTGTAGAACGTACTGATAAACATGAGCTATGGACAATGGAATCATCCATAACCTTGAAAATTTGATGCTTTTGTGGCTGTGGAAAATGTAATGGGTATCAGACGTGTTTATATGTTGTTCTGAATATTGAAAACGTTAGATTGGTCTAAGATGGATAATCTTAGAGAGAGTATAAAATCTGTTAGTATCCCCTTTCCTCCATCCCACTGGCTGTTGGCAATGGACCTGACGAGACCTATTACCCGATGGGTAGACTCGAACTCAGGTTCAAGTATGGGTTCAATTTTTTTATTCAACGGGTCGGGTTTGGGTCCAAAACCTAGACTTGAACACTATTTGGATATGGATCTAGGTTTGGGTGCCGGACTTGACCCGTATTGGTAAACCGTTAGAGATAAAATATTTTACTTTAAGCCTTATGCATTTAGGTGTATCAAGGATCGTATACAATAATAATTGGTAGTCATTTTTATCTACAAATCATACAGCTTGAAATCATATGGCAATTGATTGTGACTTTGTTGCCAATAATATGAGTATATGATGATAAAAAAATTAAAATAAAAAATAAAATAAATTCTCATAGTCATTGGGTGGCAATGGACCCGACCAGACGGTTATGAGTCCAAAACTTGAACCCAAATACTATTTGGGTCCAAGTCCGGGTCCATCCCGATCCAACCCGTACCCGACGTATTGCCACTCCTAATCCCACCTCTTCAAGCTCACTAAAGTAGCTTTAAACCTTCAAGTTTTGAAGTCTGCACTTATTTGTTTTCCTTGGAGTCCTTCGATGTGTTTTCAAAACAAATTTAGACCTTGAAGGTTGGAGTTAAGTGTCTAAGAAATATTTACAGAAGTATCAGTACATAAGTTGAATTTCAAACATTGAATGTTGGAGTAAGAGCAATTTGGTCAATAATTTTTAAAATATGAAAAAATAGATATGAATGCAAAACATAAATTTAGGGAGAACTTTAAATAATCAAACAGAAGAGACACGAGCATAAATTTATTGATTATTTTTCACCCACTAACTTAACTGTTTTTTATATTTTTTGAAGACCAAAAGGGTGAAGTTTGTATAAACCATCATCTTTATAACGTAGAAGTAAGGAACACATCTAAATTTTGTCTTGAGATGTAGTTTTGATGTTGAAAGTTTTATAATAGCCTTGAAAATTTAATTTTATTCTTAGTTATAAAATTTAAAGTTAAAACAATTATACAAATCAATCGGATCTATAAGCACTTAAAAATAAAAAATAAACATTCTAAATAATTTATTAGAAGATGTATTACTTTTGGGAAAAGTTTATATAGAACTGAGGCCCTAAACAATCAAATTAGAGCCTACCTTCAAATAGTGTCAAGAAATGTAGTTTCAATATTGAAAATCTTTGTGATGACCTTAAAACATATTTTTATCTTTATTTATAAAGTTGAAAGCTTAAAAAATAGTGTGCATCAACAGATATACGAAAACTTGAAAATTGTGAAATTGACGGTTAAAAAATGCATTACAAAATATATTATTTCAAAAACTTGAAATCTATTTTTTTTTCATGCCATGTCCATATGATCAATTTGAAGATATTTGAGTATCAAAATAACCTCTTCTAGTAAAATTTTTAAAATAGGCTCTAATTTTATCGTTTAGAGCCCAACCATTACTTTTTTAGGACTTGTCATAATGATATCGAGACGATCAAATTAGAAGATTTTCCAACATCAATACACTCTGTACTATGCAATGGCACCTTATTTCCATATATAATGTCACACATTATAGAAACTGTTTCTGACCGAAAAACGATATAATCCCGATTTTTTTTTTAAGTATTTATCGCCGTTACTCTATAAGATCAGGGGGAACGACGTTTCGGCGGGAAAAAAGTGCATTTTCCCGCCAAAACCTTTTCCCGTCTAAAAGCTCTAAGCCCGACTCATCTCTCTCTCTCTCTCTCTCTCTCTTTCTCTCTACTCTGCTTGTCTTGCGATCATCCATGGCTCGCGATTCCACCCCTCCAAGCACCCCAGGTCGGTCTTTCTCCTCACATTTTCTTCGTTTTCATCGGTTTCTCCCGTTTTTGTCTTCCTTTTTTTTTTTTCACCTTTTCGTTTTTATTAATTTTGGTTTATTTTCTCCATTTTCTGTCATTTTTAAGTGAGTTTGGGGTGTGCATTTTTATTTTCTCCTACAGCTTCTCTTTTCCCCCCTGCCATGTCTCTTTCCACCCTTCCCATTCCATTGTTTTCCTAGGTTTTTTCAGAGGATTTTTTTTTGCCCTTAATTTCAACATATACTATTTCTTTTGCCCTTTTCCCCATTTATATAGTAGTTGCCTTGACTAATCTCACCTTATTCTGGCATTGATATGGTATTACTCTCCATTTTGACATTATTTGTGTTTTTTACTCTTTTTTGTTTTTTATTTTTTTATTTCTGGCATTTGTATGGTTTTTTTCTCCATTTTCACCTGTTTTGGTGGGTTTTTCTTTTACATTATTTTGTTGTTTTTTTTTTTTGGGCAGGTTCTTCTCCAGCACCATCATCATCAAGCCCTTTTCGAACTCCCTCCTCTTCAAGGCCAGGAAGCAACCAAAGGAGACGGGGAGGAGGAGGAGGCAGGGGTCAAAGGAGGAGGACCACCCCAACAAGCAATTCATCTCCTGGCTATTATGCAACACCACCGCCCAATGTCGCTCCCTCTCCTGCTCCCTCTCCTGCCCTTACGTAAGCTACCTTGCTTGAAAGTTGAGATCGATGCAACTTTCAGTTAGTTTGTTTAATTTTGTCTTTGGGGTTGGAATTGTTTACAGTGTAGACAAAATTGGAGCAATTCTTAGGTTGGTATAATTTGAAAAACAAAGCACATAAAAGAAAAGGAGGAAAATTGTAGCCCCATTAGTTTACATACGAGAGGAAAATCTGATTTTAATGGTGGGTTGTGTTTTTAAATGGGATAGAACTTTGCTACATTTGATTTACTGACCTGAAACATGAAGAAAAGTATTGAATTTTGATTGTTTCTTTCAACATGGGAATGAAAAGTTCATTTTTGTTTTGTTGTTTTTTTTGGGTGGTGAACTGTGTTTTAAATCCAAGATAAGTTTGCACATTGAAAAGCAAAGGAGGAAATACTTGCATTTGGTTGGTTTTCATGAGAGTACCAGATGTAAATAGTGGAGATTGATTGGTTCTCTTTGCTGATTGAAAGATGTGTTTTCACAGACCTTCTTATGATGGTGATGAAGCCCCTCCATCTTCAGAAGGTGGGGACATGGACTCTAACCCTCCTATGCTTGTTTGGGGCACGAACATCAGTGTGCAGGATGTTAGTGATGCCATTCTTCGATTCCTCAAGAACTTCAGGTCCTCCCCCTCAGATTTTGAGGGCAAATACATTCGCATTATTGATCAGGTCTCTACCTGCTGATGGTTCTTAAGCTCTCTCTCTCTCTCTCTCTCTCTCTCTCTCTCTCTCTCTCTCTCTCTCTCTCTCTCTCTCTCTCT